CTTCCAAAGTATTCCTCCTCTCACCACCCAACCCCAACAAACCACAGTGAGACACAACCTGGACTCCAATCAGGTGTCCACCCTCCAGACAATCGATACTCAGTCCATCAAGGAAGAGAGGAGCCCCTCCTGTGCCACAGACCCGCCCAGGAAACACAGCTGCCACATCCTGTGCTTCCATGTCACACATAGCACCACCCAGAGAAAGAGTTTGCCATGGTGGCCCTCTCCTTTCCATGCACAGTGCTCTCACCACCAATGCATGGATGGACAGACTGCTTTTAGGATTTTTCCTTTCAAGGATGCCCTGCCAAGAGGGGAAAAAACAACAGTTCAGTTTTTTATTTTTGGGACCACAGTTCCCCCCATTTCCCCCTGGGGCTGAGGGTCCAAGAACAGAGATCTTCTCTTCTTCTCTGAAGACAGGGGACACCACCACAAACCTCCCTAACTTTTCTTTGTTCGCTCAACTTCTGTCTTTTCCCAGCTGAAGCATGGTCTCTTTGGCTCACCAGCATCCTCCTAAAATACAGTCTCTCTTGGAGGAGAAGATCAGTTCAGTCTGTGGCTACCAAGAAAAAGTCCAGCAAAAAGCCACTCCATCATCTCCTCCCACCTAAAATTTCTCCTTCCAACATCCCAGGGTCCAAGCTGTCTCTCTTCCTCTCTTTCAAACCGAGGAGGAGAAAAATTTCACAAAGCTTTCATTTCTCAGGAAGGGTTAAAAGTCCCGACTCCCAGAGACGGCTCGCTGCCCAGGCTCCCGCTCCCACAGGCAGCTGGGCACCTTGCGGCCCCCCCCAGCTCTTCTTCCCCGCGGTGAACTGCTGGCAAAACCACCGCTGTCTCTTTCTCTCTCTCTCGAGAAAGAGAGACTCTGGGGGGAAACGGAGACATCCCAGATTTTCTCCACCCTTCCATCTGCAGGGGGTTCCCAGGCCCCTCCACCCTTTGGCCTACCTCAGTCAGGCCACGGGCCTTCCCCTCCCCCGCCCAGCCACGGATGGGCAGGGGAGAGTCCTGCACTGCACGCTGACCGGAACCAAAGAGAGCGAGTTCTCCTGGGAATTCTGCTTTTAACCCCTCTGTGTTCTCAGAGGCGTGTCCACCTTCAATTGGTCAATATCCAAATTGACCTCTTTCTTTTGAGAAAATTCATTTTCCGTGTCAAACCACGACAGCAGAGTACCAGGAGACTGTGAAGAGAGCAGCAGGACTCAATGTCACTGGAGCCCCAGGCACACCTGATGCTGGCCACAGCTGTGCCTGCTGCAAGCTCCCATAGCTGCTGCCTTCCCCCTCCCTGTTGACAGCTCCGTCCCTCCAGCCCTCAGACCCTGCCCATCACCTTCTTTTTCCCCCCATCTCATCCCTTCCCTTTCCCTTCCATTAATAAACAGTTTGGTTTCTCCCCCTTACCTGCATCTCTGTGGAGCTGAAGCGGCACAAATCCCGGGCCCTGGGACACACAGGCCCCTGCTGCTGTTCTCTTCCACGCCGTGTTCTGTGCACACACACACAGAACGAGGGCAGATCAGGCTGGAGAGGTGCCTGTGCTGAAGGTGCAGTTCCACAACCCTGTGGAGTTGCAGATCTTGCTGTGCAGCCTGGAGCCCCTGGAATTTGGAAGAGCCAAGTTGAGTATGCTCTGAAGGCAGCTGTGAGGGATTCCATGGCAAGCTTCCACGGAGGGCAAAGGAGCTTGGAATGCTGGAAGTTTTCAGGAATAGCTTCCTGAAGGCTCAGCAGTGCTCCATCCCTGCACAGGATCAGGGAGAGGGCAGAACCAGCGACCATCCAGGCTTAGCAGGGAGCTTTGGGTGTGCCTGAGGGCAAAGGAAGCAGCAGCGCGGTGCCCAAGACTGGGACGCACGACCCTGCCAGTGCCCGGAGCGCTGTCAGGCAGTGCCGGGATCCCGGCTGTGGTTCTGGTGCCCACAAGTGAGGAATGGCAGCCCCAGGCTCAGAGCCAGTCAGAAAGCCAAGCAAGTGAGAGCAGAGGGAGGGCACCCTTCCAGTCTCTCTTGGGCATGGCCACAAAACAGCCCCTGCTGCTTCTTCCTCCGCCTGTGTTTGGGCTGTGCTGGTGGCAGAGGCAGCCAGGCTGTGCTCTGCCTTCCAGAGCCTGTTGGGAGCGGGCATGAAAAGCGCTGTGTGCACAGCAGAGAGGCCTGGAAGGTGCTGGCAAGAGCGTCCTGCGGGAGCAGGGCTCTGGGCTCTGGCTGGGAACAGCCTGGTCTTGGTGCCGTGGGCGCAGGCAGGAGTTGAGGCAGGTGAAGAGGCAGTGAGCAGCTTGTGTTTGTAGAGGGCCTGGGGCTGCACGTCTGAGCCTCCACCTGGAAAGGCACTTGGGGGAATAGGAGCTAGAGCTGGAGTGCCTGTCCTGAAAGGACATGAAGTCCTTCAGCCTTGCCAGCGTTTCTTAAGGGTGTGTTGGTGTTGAGCAGAAAAGCTGCACATTTGGGGAAATGCATTTGGAGGACAGGGGCTTGCTTCTCAAGGAAAGTGCTTCCCAGGGAGCTCCCAGTGAGGCAGGTGCAAGTGTCCCCCTTTGGCTCTCTGTGCTCCTTTCAGTCCTTGAGGCCCACTGCACTTGGCAGAGGGACAGGGGAAGGGAGAAGGCTGTGAAGAGCAGGTTTGGCATCCACCTGGACCTGCAGGGACCAACCCAAGCACCTGCAGCAGCGTGTGTTACCCCCGCTTTGGACAGAGGGGTGAGCAGAACCATCTCTGTCCATCTGTGAGCCCCAGAGCTCTCTGTGGGAGCTGTGAATTAAAAGGCCTTTACACACTCACTTTTCACATCTTCCCTGTCTGCTGTGTTGCATCTCTTGGCAATATGCATTTGCCTCCTGCTTGCTGGGAGCTGCTGTGGCCCAGGGCCAGCACAGACTGGGCTGGGTGGGCCAGGCAGTGTGGTGGAGAGTCTTGGCTGATCTTGGTGTGTGCCTGGCCTCAGAAAAGGCTTGGAAGGTTTGCCTGCCGAGGTGTCCTGCTCCTTGGCTCTCCCTGTGCATCTTGGAGAGCACAAGGGAGGCATTTCTGGCAGCTGGGCATCAGCAGGCCTTCAAATGGGGGCGTGTTGTGGAGCGAGCCCAGCTGAGATACCCTGAGAGGAGCCCAGGGCTCCTTGCTCCTCTCTGCTGGCCCGTGAGTGTCTGTCTGCTCTCGGGATGGCCCTGGCTGTGTCACGGGTGCTGCGTGGACACGAGACAGCCGCTCCTGTCCCGCTGGGTCCCAGCAGCGCCTGGCAGCCGTCCTGCATCCACGTCAGGATGCTGGCCAAGAGAGGCCCTGGAAGCTGAGGCAGCTGATTTGAAGCTTCTGCAGGTGCCAACAGGTCAAGGCCAACAGTGTTCCCTCAGGATACAGCATTCCTGAGGGGCTTCCCCAGAGCTGCCTGATGCCACCCACTCCTTGTGGCACCAGTTGCTTTCCTGTGGAAGGTTCTACCTTCCCCAAGAGCACAGAGGGAGCTGGAGAAAGACCTGGCCAGGCTGCTCTTGATCCTTTACCAGCAGCCCTGGGTGAGCAGAGTAGTCCCAGCTGAGTGCAGATGTGCCAATGGAAGAGCCGTGCACGGGAAGGCTCGGTGGGAAGGGTGATCCAGGATCCATAGGCCTGGCAGCCTGAGCTTGCTGCCGGGGAAGGCCTTGGAGCAGATCCTCCTGAGTGCCATCCCACGGCACGTGCAGGGAACCAGGGGGTCTGCTGGAGGGAGGGAAAGCTCAGTGGAGGGATGGGGACAGCTGAGGGTCCTGGCGGGCTGTTGAGGGCTTTGGTGCGGTGTTTGCAGGGTGTTGGTGTTGGAGGTGTGTTGGGGAAGGAGTTGTCTGGGAGGTGAGAGATCTAGGTTGGAATTTGAGTCCATTTGAAGGCAGCATCTGTAGTTTGGCACAGCCTTGCTCATGGGTCTCAGAAAGAATATCCGTGACTGTTTGTGTTCATGGTCCTGATTGTGCTGCAGGGAACAAGAGGGAAGAGCTGTACTTTATTGGCCACTTAGATCTCTATACCGGGGTAGGGTTAACCCTTTTGCCCTCTGCTCATTGTTGGCAGCAGTTGCTCCAGGTGCTCCTGCCAACAGCCCCTGCAGGCAGGAGCACAGCCCCCAGTGCACATGGGTGTGGACCATTCTGGCACAGAAGGCTCCCTGGGGCACAGGTCTCTGGGGCAGGAGACGGGCACCAGCCCTGCCAGGTCTGCTTGGGCGGGGACTCTGCCAGAGCTGCTGGTGTCAGTGTTCCCCAGGCCCCAGGGCTCAGAGCAGCATTCATGCCCTGGCCCACAGTTCCTTGTGCGTGCCACACCCGTGGGTTTAGGATGGCCACGGGCCAGGACGCGTCCCAAGGAGGCTGTTGTTACAGCATTTTTGAGAGAAAGAGGGCATGAATTGTGAAAGTTGAGCTACTCCAGGCTAGGCCTCAGATTGAGGCCTGGTGGGGCCCTCAAAGCCTCTGACGCAGTTAGAAATTCAGGGTTGTGGCGCAGGTAGAAAATAGTCTTAAAGTACTGTGGGGACCACTGAGTTGTCTGGGTGTGAATTAGTATAGGTTTTATGGTGTAGAGTGTAGGCCGTTTTAAGGAAAAGGTAAACAATGTTAGCCTACCAATTAGAGTGTCTTTGTTTCTGTAAACTATGTGGAAGCTTATATAAACTACCACCTTATCTTGAATAAACGGAGAACGTTGCATTAATCATATTGATTGGATGTGCGTTTGTCTTGTCCAGCTTTCCGTTTTTCTGAGATTCCCTGGCTTTAAGTGGCGCCCGCACAGGGACTCAGGAGGCTCCGAGAAGGCTGCCAAATTACTTTTAGAGTAACGGGCAGTCAGGTTTGAGTCGCGCGACAGGAATTTAGGTCCAAATCGCCTCATGGTGACGGGACCGGGATCCCAAATTCACTTTTTGTGAACGGGGATCAGGTGGAACGGAGCAGAAGTCTCCAAACTCCGAATTGGGCCGTTTCCCAACGGGAGGAAAAAGACTCTTCGCATTGTTGTTTGTTTGCGAGAGTCCGTTGGAGCAGTGGGAAGACCTCGGTGTTCACAAGGTACCTGAACGGCGGGTGTGGACGTGGCCGGGGCCGGAGAGCTGGAGCGGGGTGCTGCCTTGCCGAAGAAAAGCGAGAGCGAAGCAACCCGCGGAGGTGAGGTAAGCTGCGTGCAGAAAGAGAGGGTGAAAGTTCACCATGGATGGAGATTTACAGGCTTCAGTGCGGCTGCTCTTTCATATTCTCTCAAAGAGAGCTGAAAAAGTTAAAGAAGCCGATTTAGAACAGTTGGTCATTTGGGCAAGAAGCAAAGGCAAGCTGCAAAAACCTTCCCTGCTTTTTAGTGAAACCGAGTGGCGAGAGCTGGGCCAGCTGCTCTGGGATGCAGTGATAGAGGGCAAAAAGGACAAGAAAACACTATTAGAGCTTGGAGGTGTTTGGAAGAAAGTTTCACATACCTTACAAAGCATGGCCGCGGAGAAAGAGGCAGCGGAAGCTGCCATTCGAGCATTCGAACAGTCTACAGCAGAACAAATAGAAACGCGAAAGCCATCGCGGGTTGAAAAATTCTTTAATGTTTGTAATATGCGGCCAGTGCGCGGGCAGAAAGCCCCAGTCAGCCCCTCTGTCAGAGATGTTGTCGCTCGTTTGGAGGGCGGTACGGAGCTGGGCAGCGCGGGGCCGGCCGGCGCGAGACGGAGCGGGGTTGCGGCCGCGCCCGGAACGGAAGTCTGCTCCCGAGCAGCAGATGTTAACAGCTCAGCGGTTCCGCGGAGTGAGGCAGACCAGGAAGTGACCCTCCCGGGTCCCTTGGGAGGCGGGGAGACACCTGAGGAGGCAGGCGGAGCTGGTGACGAAACAGGGCTGAGTCAGGAGGAGGAACTCGGGGGCGGAGATCAAGGCAGAGACCAGGGCGGAGACGGGAGCGGGGCGGTGTCGGCCCCTCGCCCCCCCGCAGCGGCTGCGGCTGCCGCGGCTGCGTGCAAACGCAGAGGAGCGGCCCGCCGATACCCGCCGGCGGCGGCGGCCGCGGCCAGCAGCCTGGCACGGTTTGGAGGGGCTGGACACCCCAATGCTAGCGGAGTGGCAGAAGTAGCCACCCAAACAACACCAGAGCAGAGCCCCGAAAATGCCAGTTCCCACCCCACCACCGTGGCGCGGCACTGCCCACTCCCACCGAGTTCAGATTCTGACGACTCAGAGCCAGACTTTCCGGTTGTCAATTGCAGCAGGGACAAGCGATCACAGAACAAGATACAAAGACCAAATACGTTACAGGAAAAAATAGCCCGCCTTGCCACCCTTTCAAATCGCCAGGCTCAACCAGTGGAACCTTCCACTGGACAGCAATTGGCATCGCCAGCAGTTTTAAAAAATCCCTTGCAGTCCCGATGGGCGTCAGTTGTGAAAGATGCTCTTTTAGACGGTGACTGGAAAGCTGCCAGCTCCCTGGTCTGTCCTGTTATAGTATCTAACGGGAATGCCATTTGGGAGCCTCATGAGTGGAAAATCCTACAGTCAGCCAAGCAGACAGTCACCACTTATGGGATCAGATCAGAAGCAGCCAGGAACATCATTCAGTATATATTCACAGCAGATGTGCTTTGTCCTAGTGATTCATCTAACGTTGCATCCCTGCTCCTGACACCTTCCCAATACCTCATGTTTGAAAGGGAGTGGAAACGGTTGGCAATTGAAGAGGCCAACAAGCACACAACTGTGGGGGACCCTTTTTATGGAGTCCAGCCAGATATGCTGACTGGGCAAGGACCATATGCAACCAATCAGGTACAACTTACCTTTCCTATTGAAATACATCAATTGTCACAGCAATTGGCTCATCAAGCTTTGCTTTTGGTACCAGACAAGAAAAAGTCAGCACCCTATGCCACCATAAAGCAAGGAGCCACTGAACCGTTTGGACAATTTATTGATAGGCTGTCAGCTGCTTTAAAGGATGCACCTGACGTGCCACCAGACGTTCAGGAACATTTATTCCGATCCCTTGCTTTTGAAAATGCTAACCCACCCACCAGAACCATCCTAGCCACCCTCCCTCAGGGCTGTCCAGTCGATGAGATGCTTGTCAGAGCCACACGCGCAGAACAGAGCAACCAAGCTGCGGCATTCGCCGCAACCATCCAGGATGCAATTGAACAACAAGGACACATCATTGCAGCTGCTTTATCAAGCAACAACACAAGGAGACAAAAGACGTAATGAAAAACTATAGCAATACTGAGTGTTTTCCAAGAAACCAAGAGGGATGGACATTATGCAAATCAAAGTTATTTCAAATACAATGTGGATGAAAATTACTGTAAAACAAAAAAGGATAGAAATGTTATGAATGCTTGACAAGATTGTTTTAAACTATTTTAAACATTTCTTGTTAATAGGTTGATCATATAATGTAAGTTGTCTGATTTTTGTGATAAGAATTATTATTAAGATGTTAAGGTATTGAGGTGTTGTTTTAATATTTACAGTCAGTTTTCATATGTTTTATGGGGTTTTTTTTTTAGGTGATTGATTGTGAGATGTATTTTTCAGGATCCTGTGTGCTTGATTTTTTAACTACTCATGTGTTTTCTTTATTCAATTTTCTATGCAGCTGCAGTTCATCTTTTAGAAATTTATAGTCCAAGTTCTAGTTCAAGATTTCAGACTTCAAATTCTCAGATTTTTGAAGAAAAGGTTTGTTGTATTTAGAGAATTTTTGTCTTGAAACAAATTTTAGACAGGTTCAATCATTTGATGTTTTGATAAATTGTTAATAATAAGGTTTTTCACTTATAACTGTTATTTTTAAGACTTCTGTTTTGAACATATCCTCCAATTAGAGTTTGAGCTCTGGCCAGGCTCTGGCTCTACGTGGATGGTGTGATTGATTCCAGGTGTTTTCTGCATCAAAAAAGTATTCAAGTCCTTTTGGCTTGACAATTTGACCATACAGGACAGCTGAGCCTCAAAGGAGGTTTTGGAGAGACATGATCCGGACATGTTTTATCCAAATCTCTGTTGTTTTAAGGTTTTTCAGCTGCTGCAGACTCTGGGATGACAATTTGATAGTGTACCACTTGGTAACTGTGATTTTATATGTAATATTGATTGTGTATTATTTGATTGATTTTTATTTGTTGTTAGTTTCTTTACTATATGCATTGTTTTGTTCTTAATGTTTTTCATGTTTATAACAAAGATGTTGATATTTCCATTTCTTCATGCAAGTTTTAGGGAACAGAATTGAGAGAGGACCCTCCAGTCCCTGTGGGGGTGTTAGGTTTGTTTGTTTTTTAACAGGTGCAGAATCTAGATGGATTTCAGTGAAGAATGTGGAACTTCTCAATTGCAAGAGGGCACTGATCTCTCCACAAGTGGATCAGAGGATGCACAGCAAAAGTGGATTGTGCAAAGATTTGTGTTTCACCCACAGAAGATCGTGGCCTTTGAGTTTTTTTTTATAAGTGTGTTTTTAATGATGTTATAGAATTTTTTTTTGCTAAGTTTTTAATAAGTTTTAGTAATGCCTGTGATTTTTCTGTTCATCTTGCCATTGTCTTTCAATGGCAAAAGAAAAAGAGGGAGGTCCCAACGGGGATCAACAGAAATTTTACTTGAGTGAGTGTTTTTACCCATCCAACCAAGAAGTCGTGTGATGGACAGGACAGATGCTCTTGCTGCATTGATACGAAAAGGCAGAAACAGAATTTTAAAAATAGATGAAACAGAAAAATAAGTTGAAATATCATAAGTGTGAAGTTAGATTTATCAGAAGTTAGTTTATTAGAAGTTATAGTTTATGTTTAGAATTAAGATTGTTTCTTTCATGTTAGACAGGGCATTCAAGAACCTGAGAAGAATGTGGTGGGCCTCAATGTTTTTATTTCGCACTTGTTTAATTTTTGGAGTCTTGTTGGGTCCCATGGCAGAGTTAAAGACTTGGACCTGAGCTCAAATAAGTTTAAATAGCACTCTGGGAGCGCAAGCTGTTGCATTTGTGCAAAACCTTAAATTTATTGATGATAGTTTTCAAGAATTTGGTCTTTTGGGTTCTGTCCCAGGAAATTACTGTTTGATATTTGGATCTTATGCTACCAAACCAACTCAAGAAAATGGAAAATTGACAGATGACAACACTTGATTGTCTCCCAGATCACCATTGTATTACAACTATTTAGAATATTGTAACAATTCGACTCCAAGAGGTAGTGCAGGAAAAACTGCCCCCAGGAACCTTCCTCATTTGTGGGGACCGAGCCTGGTCAGCAGTCCCTCAAAATGCTAGGGGAGGCCCATGTTATATCGGTAGGTTGATGCTTTTTGCTCCCACCATACATCAGGTTCTCGAATTGCCTCAGAAGACTCAACGAGCCAAACGCAGTGTTCTCCAAATGGACACTTCATTTGATAACTGGCTCAATTCTTCAGGTTTTTCTGGCTGGGTCAAAGACAGTGTGTGCAAAAATTAGTTCATTGAGCCTTCACTCCAGCCTGAGTAGCTCAAAAGAAAAAGAGGGAATTGTTACAGCATTTTTGAGAGAAAGAGGGCATGAATTGTGAAAGTTGAGCTACTCCAGGCTAGGCCTCAGATTGAGGCCTGGTGGGGCCCTCAAAGCCTCTGACGCAGTTAGAAATTCAGGGTTGTGGCGCAGGTAGAAAATAGTCTTAAAGTACTGTGGGGACCACTGAGTTGTCTGGGTGTGAATTAGTATAGGTTTTATGGTGTAGAGTGTAGGCCGTTTTAAGGAAAAGGTAAACAATGTTAGCCTACCAATTAGAGTGTCTTTGTTTCTGTAAACTATGTGGAAGCTTATATAAACTACCACCTTATCTTGAATAAACGGAGAACGTTGCATTAATCATATTGATTGGATGTGCGTTTGTCTTGTCCAGCTTTCCGTTTTTCTGAGATTCCCTGGCTTTAGGCTGTGGCAGCTTCCATGGAAGGTTCTGTGCCCTTCCCAGCGCAGCTGCGTCGGCAGCCCTGGGGACTCCTTCTGCTGCCCGGAGCCCACAGAGCAGGGCAGCGTTTGCTGATGGTATGAGCCATTCCTAAAGATCCTGTTGGGCTGTCTCAGACACTTGGGGCCAGGGATTTCTTCCAACCTGGGCCACTTTGGCTGGGCAGGGTGTGGCCCCAGGGCAGGTGGCAGTGTGTGCAATGGCCCTTTGTGACATGGTGCAGCATGGTCACTATGGCATAGAACGGCACAGGATGGCCTTTGTGACACGTGCTGACATAGGAGCTGGCACTAACCAGAGCACGCCACTCTGCTCAGAGCAGGCGACCGGACAGGACGGGACAGAGCGGTGCTGTGAGGAGCCCCCGCACAGCACGCTTGTTCGTGCCTGACCCGGAGCTTTTCCGAGGCATTATTCCTACAGGTGACCTCGTGGCAAGACCACAGGACTTGGCAGCCTGTGGCCTTCCCGAGGCTTCTCTTTTGTAGGTGCCCTTGAGGACTTGTTCACTTGGAGCTTTCCCAAGCCATCTCTCTTTCAGGTGCCCTCGATACCAGACTCTGGCATGGCGGGCAGACTTCTCGGCTTGTTCAGAGTGTTCAGGGGAAAAAAAAAGAAAAGCCCTGAAGCTGCTCCACCACAACAGCATGAAAACCCGGAGCAGTTCCAGCCACCGGAGGACAGTGAGTGGCAGAGCTGGGCCACAGGGCTGATGCCTGCAGCCAGCTTGGCCCTATCCCATCCCATCCCATCCCATCCCATCCTATCCCATCCCATCCCATCCCATCCCATCCCATCCCATCCCATCCCATCCCATCCCATCCCATCCCATCCCATCCCATCCCATCCCATCCCATCCCATCCCATCCCATCCCATCCCATCCCATCCCATCTGTAACGACGTTGATTTGTATTCCACGG